CCAATCAGCAAATTGTTGAATTAAAAAACTTTAGCCAAAGTCTCCAACATCACCCAAAAAAAATTCACAGAAATTCATGAAATTTTATGGGAAACCCAATTTACCACTACTTTATATGTTTCAAAAATATTATTTTGACTTTATCAATAATTAATTAAATAAATGATATTTTAGATTTTTTGCACATATTTTTCCATTATTATTCTCATATAACTAATAAATACACTACTCGTCTTATTTCAAAATATTTATCTCTATTCTCATTAATTAGAGTTATTATTGACAAAAGAAAATTAAATACTGTACTATGCAACTTCTTAAGACGACTCTTGTTAAAAACTGGAGGGAGTATTGAGTATTCCACAATAGTCATCTTATCTAAATATGTTTATATTGTCGCTAGCAACATAAACTAATATATAGCTTGGGCGAGCATTTGTCACGCACGATCAAAGCAAAGTTATGAAAATAACATCTGATCTTAATTATTGATTAACATATAGATATCTAAATCAATATTCTAGGAGTTGCTAGGCGATCTAGACGGGGCTTAGTCAGTGTCTATAAATCAAGATTAAATACCTTATTTTTTATTTATTTTCACTATCTACAAAATAAAATTATCTCAACTTATAATAAATCAACACACCTAAATCTAAATAAAAATATTAGTGTATTATAAAGAAAACATGATAACAACATAATGTAATAAATATTTAATAAAATTGAAAAATTTCTACCGAGTCCGCCGAGGAGTGCCTAGGTCCGTCTAGCCGATTTTTTCAGCCGATTTACACAAATCGGAAACTGTCGGGCAGCACCTACGCGGCCGTCTAGTTCGATTTTTAGAACATAGATCAAAATTCCTAACCTTACCAATTACGAAAATAAATAGAATACTGATATTTCACACAACCTAAAGGTGCCGTATAGCCTTCGCTTTAGCCGTATAATTATTACCTAATCCCAATTTGACATTTGATTGGTTCATTACAGCTAATTAGAGTGCTAATTGTGGCATTTTGATACATTTTTTTAATGGTTAAAGCAACCTTTAGTAGTACTAACACAGTTTGGCTCAAGTCGTAAGCAGTTTGGTGTCGCTTAAGCAGGTTTCATGTAAGAGTACTCGTGGATGCATAGAACTTTTGTTAGAAGACTACCCACCACTGCCAGGTGTGCAACCCGAGTCGATTATTTGTTGGAAGACTACCCACTACTGTCAGTTGTGCAACTCGAGTCGATTAGTCGGAGCATAGCTCTTGATATAATAATTGCACTTGACGAAAGTTCAAAGCCAACTGTGGGGGGCTGTCCTTCCTCGGCTCCCTTTCATGATCATAACTCATTTTTCAACGAAAAAGACCATTTTTCATCATTTTTTTTTTTTATATTATATTCCCAGTAAATTCCAATTAGTGAAAAGCTAAAAGCATAATAAAAATGAGCTTTTGGTCTCGGTTTCTTTATTTGTTTTACACTGAAGCAGCAAAATTGGTGAAGCATGTCCCTGGTAAAATGTGAGAAGGATGAATTTCCGATAGCCGCCGTGAAGAAAGGCGGGCACCGCCGCGGAACCACCCTCGCCTCGGCGGAGTCACTGGCTTTGCCTCCGGTGAGTTAATTCAATCAACTCGGGGATTTGTGTATTGATTATTTGCAAATAAGAAATTAATTTGGAATGGTTTGATTTGATCACATATTTGTAGTTAATTTTTTACATAAATAATATGGAGTCATAAGATGGTTTTCTTGTGGAGTCATCCATAACTTTGTGTATTGACACGTGTCCAATGTGTATTTATTGCATGACACGTGTCAATACACAATTTGTAATAATTACAGATGATTCCATAAACCGAGCCATCTGATGGTTCTATAGCAAAATCGTAATTTTTTATTCACTTTTGTGTGTTTTTTGAGCGGCGGCGAGTAGGTGCAGGAAGTGGTGTTTTTGGCCGATTTTCGGTGTTCGAGGTGCCAAGAGAGGGTGGCTCAGATTCTTGCCAAAATGAACGGTCAGGATTTGTTCTGCTGTTTATTTTTCTTTTTTCTTTTTCTTTTTTTATTGGATGTGAAAGGGAGGGGGCGGTGTCGTCAATTCACAGTTGCAGCGGTGGTCCATGGCCCAATGAGCTCTCTTTCTTTCTTTACCATATTTCATTTTGGGACTTCTCTTTTTGAAAATATTCGGGTCGAAATTTGCAACCGCTAGAATTATCTTTGACGATTATGTGATAACTTAATGGTTATAAATTCCGACAAAGTAATTCCATAACAGGACCTTAGCATTTCCTTCTCTTTTCTTTTTCTTTTTTTCGTCTTGATTTTCCTGTAATTTCGGAAAAGTACGGGAATATAAATAAAATTGATTTTTGGATTGAATTTATTGATTAAAGAAATTAATTTGAAATAAATTGATTGAATGAGATTTAAATTTGTATTTAAATAATAATTAAAAAATAATTAAATTAATAACTCTATATTCATAACTCCATTGGGATACATTTGATCCGGTAATTAAATTGGGAAATGGAGCTCGAGCGAGAGATGAGACCGTAGTAGTCCCATAGATCGAAAGGGGCCCACATGTGGTGACATTTTTTTTTTTTAATTTATTTATTTTATTTATTTGTTTTATGCCTCATAGGATCCCTACATTTGCTTGAATGATTTTAGTTTGGTACTTATAAAATTTTTGTTCTGATAGCATTTATTTTCTTGTGTAAGAAAAACTTTAGTATGATATGGATTATGGTTCATATGGTGTAACTAAAAAAACAAAGTAAGAAATTGTAGAATGGTTTACTTGATTTCCAAAAAATGGGAAATAAATGAAGTGTTCCTAACCTTTTCTTTTCCTTGTATGATAATTTTTGGATGTTTTAGGGGAGACACAATCCGTGATGATAAGTGTTGTGGAGAAGAAAGTAACACTCACATGTACGTACCCGATAGCCGATAAACTTTCCCGACGACAAGTTGCTTGGAACAAGATTTTGCCGATCGTTCGACTTTTTCGTTCGTCTCGCGCTTAACAGCTAACTAACTATATAAGAATCGATTTTTTTTTTTTTACTGTAAAGAGAAATAAATTACCTTGCTAGTATATGTAGATGCCAAATTTAATGTTGGAGGGTGTAAATTTCATGTTGGTTGCTTTAGTTACTACTTAGTTACCACGGTTTGGAGGAGTAATATTCATTTTTGTTGATTTTGTTAATACTTGTAAGAACTGTGTTTGTTCACAGATGTGTGAATTTAATGTGATTTTGTCGGGTGAAATTTTTAATGATGTTTCTTGAATCACTAATTTCAATCTGTTTTGATTTAGAAATGATTACTTATGTCCTGAAATATTATAATTATGTTGGTTTTTAGAATTTTACATATAAAAGTATACATAGTTTTTTTTTTTTTTTTTTCAAAAAATATCACTATCTAATAGTGGTAACACAAAACTTTGTGACAGGCTAGAACCCCGAGTAATCGTCTTCTTTCTCACCGGTTGAACGTCTTGCACCTACAAAGAACTCTCACACCGGAGAGGTTTTTCGATTAAGAGCCTCCAAAGCTTAAGTCAGTATTTTCTCAATCAATTCTCAAGAGTAAGTAAAGAATGATCGTGTTGAACAAGAAAAGGCTCACCCCTTATTTATAAGGGTGAGATACCTGACCTAGGGGCTGCCCGGATTTGATGAATTGTCAGCCCTCACTGCCCGTCCGTACACACGCAGTGTGCGTGTGTCAGAGGTAGCTGTCGCTACTATCCTCTGTGCCAATATCTCTTCGACACGTGTCCTCTGCACATGGATAAAATATTCCCCCTTTGATTCTCCTGACGTCACTCTGACAATTCCGTTGGAGATTCTTGTAGTTGACCTTATCCAAGTCAACTCTCACGTCCTATCCTCCGTACTGGGTGTTCGACCATCAGGTCGCCCCTAACCCTTGTGTCGACCACCTGGACAACTCTTAGCTCGATCTTTCCTCTTATCGACCATATTTTCTCTGCCCTCTAGGCTGCCCTACGTACCGAGATTCTCATCCTTTCGATCCTGAGATAATTCAACTGTGGTCGTGTTCTCTCATATCCTTTTCGACCGGCTTTATCTTATCTATGTTCGGCTTTGCTCGACCCACTCATTGGACCGGTTTATTTGTTGAGGTATAATATCCCATATCAAATAGGATTTGCTAACATCATTCTTACCCATTTTGGACAAGCCCACAATGGACTTCATATTTTCTACTTCAATGTAGTTAAGATGAAGGTCTAGTTACATTGGCCTCAAATATTTGCAAAGTTTAACCAACAAAGGTTGACTCAAGTGGTAAGCATCTTGATGTCGCTTAAGCAAGGTCTCGGATTCGAGTTCTTGTGGATGTAGAAAACTCTTGTTGAGAGATTCACCCACCACTGTCAGGTGTGCGACACTGCCAGGTGTGCAACCCGAGTTGACCAACAAATTAGTCCGGGCATAACTTCGAATACCGTGCTTGGCTACCCAATATATGTATATATTTGCTAGTATCTTACACTACAAAAAAACTCTTACATTCTAACGAAAATTTTCCGTTGGATTTTTTTATATTTCCGTTGGAATAACATATTCCTACGTATAAAAATCCGTTGGAAAAACGGCCGTTGGAATAACAAATATCCAACGGAAAATCCTATGAAAATAAATTCCTACAACTATTCCAACGAAAAAATCCGTTGGAATTCCTCAACTATCCAACATTTATTCCAACATAAAATTAAGTTTGTTGGAATATTCATTGGAATTTCCAACGGAAATTTTTACCGTTGGAATTGTAGTATTTTTTGTAGTGTTATTTATTTATTTATTTTTTTTTTTACAAGTATACCTTTAACTCTTCAAGTGGTGCAATAAAATTTTCCTTCATTTCCTGTTTTACCGAAAAGAAAGAGATATGTATCTAACCCAAAAACGCTGTTAAATTTAAAATTTAGTATTTTTATTATGTTAACAGGGAAAGTTCTCACACGAGACGATCATTAACGAACAATTATCGGTTTTGTTATGAGGCCAACCTTCTATATACAATCAATAAACTTACCATATTAATAAAATTATATTAGTATTATTTAAGTAATCACAAAATATGGTATGTTTACTTGTTGTATATAGAAGGTTGACTCTACTATGGAGCCAACTATTGACTTCATAGCAAACCGGAACAATTATATCAACACTAGAGAAATGTCTAATGACCTCAACTTAAATGGTAACTAAACATGGTTGAAGTTAACTCATAGTAGTGGGACAAGAAAAGAATGCTTGTGTTGATGAACAATGCCATAGTATCATGTGCACTACAAGGCAAGCCAAATTAATTGTATGATATAATCAAGTCAAGACATTCTTTCTTTTAAGGAAGCTTGCACCGAATTAGATTCCTTGTTAGGGAAAACCATGACTTCCCATAGATATGCCAACAATCAATGTCAATTAATAATGATCTTTTAAGGAGTTTTGACACATACACACACACACAGACACACACACACACACACACGTACAGATCAAAGGAACCAAGTTTTAGCCACATTTTTTTCATTTTGGGGGAAAAATTTATCAGCTCCTAATCTGGGGTCTCATCAAAGTACAATCTCATCCGAAGAGGCAAGCATTACTATCTAAACCATATTTGTATCACATTTTCGGGAAATGCTACAGTCCGGTTACGGAACCATTTCGTCAGAATTTGTAACCGTTAGATCATCATGTAACAGTTGTGGATAGTTGATCTAACAGTTACAAACTTCGACGGAATGGTTCCGTAATGGGATTGTAGAATCTCCCTCACATTTTTTCTAAGTTAGTTTCTAGTTATTTAATTTGTTTAATAATGGATGTTTAGGAAATAATCATCCTTTTCATTTTTATTTGCAAAAAAAAGTGTATATTAAGGATAGCATATTTTGCAAAGTAAAAGATACTAGTAAACGCCCGTGTATTACACGGGTGTTTGCTATTTTTTTTTTCTTAAAATCTAAAATTAATAAAAAAAGTAGTTGAAAATTTAAGTACCTTTTATAAAAATATATATTATTATATATTTAGTATGACACTTTTTATTTGTGTATCTTACATGTGTTATATTATAATAATTTTTTTAACTTACAACATATAACTACATTAAACATAAATATATCAATTGACAAATAATTTTATTTTCATAATAAATTTTAATATATATTATTATTTTTTTGTTATTATAAATATAAATATAAATTATTTATTTCATATATACAATATGGATGTCAAATCGAAGATAATCAAAAGATGAATAATTTGATATATTATATATGTAAAACTGATAAGATACAAAAGTTATCAACTTTTAAAATACATTTATAATTCAATAGCTAATTGAAGGAACAAATCAAAAGTCAGAGATATATTAGTCACCCAGTGCCTCACTATGTAAAATTACAAAGAAATAAAGGTTATATTAGTGCAAGTGATATTAAAATACCTAAGGTCGTGATTGCTTATGAATTCAACTAGTAAAAAACTAGTTTTTTTTAACTATAGTTAAGTTTAAAAAAAAGTAATATGGTTAGTTGTTAGTGGATATATTAAAATAATATTTAAATTAAAATAATTAAAATTGATTTGATGTAAAAGTATGAAAAAATGATTGGAAGTGATGGTTAATTAAAATTATGTGAGTGGATGAATAATGAATTAAAGTTGATGTGATGTGTAATAATGATTGGTTGATATTATTTAATTATATTGATAATATTGAAGATAGTGGAGTTGAGTTAAAGTAGAGTTAAATTTGAGTTTTGAGTGAGATATTTATTGTAGAACTTATAAACAATCACGTCCTAAGTTACCTAAATAATATTTATGGAACGTCCAAACCTAAATTATTAATTATTAATATATCACCATTATTTGTCCAAACTTAATTACGAAACATGATTCTTTGCCAAGTAGGATTTCGAAGCACCAGAAGTAGCCACGTAAGCTCAGCGCATTCGGAATAATATATAGGGAAGATAGGGTATTAGGGTTACGTTCTTCTAAAAATCACCTTTGGTACTAATTGTCTATATGTTTCCTTGTATTTTTTGTGGTTGATTGCAAGATAAATGGTGAAATAACATTCTTCAAAATAAAGTTTTTTTTTTTTAATTTTTTTTTTTTATAATATTCTACATGCTGCTCGGTTTTAGTAGGGGCATTTGTGTTGAAAATTCAAACTACTTTCATATTTTAAAATGTGTAAATATGATCTTTTTTTTAGTAATTAGTAGTAGCAAGTGTATTAAGGTTCAAATTAAGAAATTAATAATTAAAAACTAAGAAAATAAAACCGAAGTTTTACTTTGAATTTTCGAATACTTAATCAAAATCACATTACTATTACTATTATTAATATTAATATTAATATTAATATTAATAATATTATTATTATAATACATTTATAATTTATGTTAACCAAGTGTTTTATAACTTTTGGAAGGCCTAATATGCATGGATAAAAGTTGTATATTATATGATAAAAGTTTTATTATTGAACTACTCCGAAATACTAAAATTCACATATAAGATTAAGCACCAGAATTTAATACTTAGGTTGGAAAAAATTATATATATGGAGAGATTATGTCAAATTTTAGGTAGTTTCCATTACAAGAAAACGATAAAATTTTAACGAAAAATTCCAACAGAAATATATTTTAGTAGAATGTCAATGAAAATTCCAACAGATATTCCAATATTATTATTTCCGTTGGAGTTTTCCAATTGATTCTAACGGAATTTCCAACAAAAATATTCAATTGGAATGAGTTTTCTATTGGAATTTACGTTCGGTAGATTTTCCAATGGGGGCGGGAAAAAAAATTTTCAACGAAAATTTTTACAGTAAAAAACCGTACGGTTGAAAAAATAGTCATTGAAATCATCAAATTGTATCCAAAAATTTCAATGAAAAAACTCATTCCAACTGAATATTTTCGTTGGAATTTCGGTCGGAGTCATCCAACGGAAAC